ATGCTTGAAATAACGCGAGGTCTTTACCTTACTGTAGATCATTTGTAAACAATTAAGAATATTTATACGTTATGAGCATAGCGTGCACACAAGCTAGCTGTTGACTACTGTACTTTCGAAATTCACTTCTTATCTTTAGTGCAACAGAAGAGAGAGAAAAACATTGGAATAATGTTTCAATTTTGTCGTTTTCTATTAGTCGACGACTGCCGTTTCACTGTGCTGTAATAGAGAAAAATCGAACTCCTAAATTGCAAACATTTGCTTAAAAAAAGAAATAGAGCAAAATACTTTCGAGAATGGACCGATTGACATGTTCTACTAATTGTAATTTGTTGTAATAATTGATTGGAGAGACAAAACATCGACATTAAATAAATAGCGTCTCGAAACGAATGTATTTGGTTTTCGGTGATTTATAACATTATGCATATGAAGATTTGTTGCAAAGTACAAAGGACTATGGAAGAGAAAACCGTAGTTGAAAGTGGTTACCCGATCAAATGAGTCCGCTGGAATAATCAGTCATAATGGCGATATTAGCTGAAGACTTTAGAAGTCAGCGATACCGAGTCCGTTACGGCCATCACCGCCGCCGCCTTCGTTACTGCCAGCACATAACCCACAAATCATTCTAAAGTGCCGGCCCGGTAAGATATAACCTCGCAAGCACTCCGGTCGGCTATTGATTCTACATGCTGGCTATTCATAACTATGCTAAAATCCATATGAGTGCTTCCGAAAATCTCGTCAATTTTAGATTTCCTTCATTTTCACATTTCTTTATTTTTACTTGCAGATGTAAATTTGATTAAAAGACTACTACTTTCGTCCATGGTAAAAGGCTTTATTCACCGCAGATTATTCGCCTTTCCACTCGCCTTTCCACAAATGCTATAACTGATATCAAGAAAAAGAATTTGGAGCAGGCAGATATTGGCTTGTCGTAGAGATGGTGATGATGATGATGACGATGATTTTATTGTCGATGAATGTAGGCATGTGTATAGATGGTGGGACACAGATGTCTGCCGGATCAAACGTATCGGCCGCCGTACTAATGGAAAGAGGTATGATATGTTGACCGCTCCGAAAGATGGATCCGCTTCGTCAGTCAGTCAATTGACGGTAATCACAAGCTTTCCATATTTTGCATCCATTTGATGAGACTGACAAATCTTTTGATGTCATTGATGCAGTCTTGCTCTATTCTGCTTCCGTTTTGCACGTCTTATCCTTTTTTCCGCCTTCGATTTAAGGTCACCATAATTTGAGAATAGTGCTATTTGTCAAATGATTCGTCCTGAATTGCGCATGCTACCTCGTTCATTATTCTTTACCACAAACTTTCATACTTCTCTTGCTAATATACATCCCGAAATAGTGGACAGCTTTGTGCTTTAGCACACCCAGTGTTTTCACATGAAGAATTATTTAATGAGCAAGCTAAGCAATGTTGCCTCGGAATCGTTGCTTAGGAGGAAACTGAGTCCCGGTGTTGCCTCACCTCCTTCCAAGGAGCAGCTACAGTATTCCAAAGATGCTACGCCGACGGTGACACTGGTGACTGGAGTCGTTCACGCGACGTCTCAATTGTTGCTAATGACGAAGTCTATTATTTCAGCAGCGGAAGCCCCGCTATCGATTCCGGAGATCGTTTGGCGCTAATTTTTGGATGAGTGTTCATGGTTATGTACGTTGTTGGTGTGTATGTAATCTGTGGATGTTTGTGTACGTGTGCACCTACTTGTCGCCGTATACACCTTCGAACAGTGATGTACCTAGGTACACGCATTTGTCTATATTTGTGTATGCAATTATGGATGCGTGCATGTGTTCGTATATAAATTTGTATGTCTGTTAGGCTGTATATGCGTAAATGTGTGTGCACATGTGCATACATACATGTTCAGCCTTATTAAACTGAACTACAAATCTTTGAGCCTTGGCAATAGAAAAAAACTATGCGTGCTCCTCGTTAGGTAAAAAATATTTGATTGATTTTTTCTTATAATTTTTAAACGCTTGTAGGAATGCAACAGTGTAACACCTGTGATACGTTTAGCAGAAATACGACAATCACTGAAACTCGTGAGGTATTCAGATCATCTGGATGTTCTTCGTAGTAAGAAATTTTTCGCTCATAACTGACACTCTGCACTACCTTTGGTCTTTTTGTTCACACTAATAATTCTATATCCACAATGCTTGACAAAAGATTATACTACACCTGAAAAGACATCACTTGTGAGAAGAAATAAGTCAAAGCAGTAAAGAGTCAACTGAATCGGTGATGTAATGATTCTTTTTAAGTTCTTCGACAGGAATATAGCCATTTTTTAAAAATGTGTGGTACTAAATTTGCGCGAAATCATGCCATTTCATTGAAACGTGTCAATTTGAGGAACAGGCAATGATCTCTGCGACCTTGCTGCTCGTTCCTTGCTGTACTATTAGGTGAACGGAACTATGGCGAGCAGAGTCACTTGTCCCTGTGGGTGTGATTTCTAACGCAGCATATGGACATTTGGACATTTTGCTTCGCTTATAGAGGCCAATGCTACTCCCTCAAACCATCATTAATACTTTCACCGCTGGAATTCGGAGGTTTACACTCATCCGGACATTGAACGCATTTCCGCTGTAATTTATCCACTTTTTTTTTCTTGCTTTCTACTCCAAAGCTAAGCGCACTAGTCTTCTGCACAGCAGGTATTTATTGATGTCGGCTATCATTTTCTAATAATAAAAGTGTACGGTATGTAATTAATTAAGCTAAAATCGAACCGCACTCATCATTTAGTGTAACTTGCAAAATAATCATAACAAGGCTCACTAAGTACATCTGACCAATCACAGAGTATGAAACACAGTTTTCTTAACTACAGAAGGAAATTATTTAAAATTTTAAGAGCCAATTTTGAAAGCCATTTGGAGTAAATCCCAGTAATTTATAAGATTTCAGTCGCTATAGATGATTATTGGGCTCTAATTTGTTAGATGTAGCGTCAGCCTTGTTCTCAAACACGACATCTCTAACTTTTACAGATTTCTATTGTACACAGATTCACAAAGCACCAAAGTATACAGTTTTTCGGCTTAACTGCAATTGAAAGCAGTCTTTTGATGCTGGGATGTAGAATACAGCTTTTTTTCCTAGGAAGCAGCAGTCTATCTCACAAGTCACCGCGGACGAGCGACAGTGAAAGAGTGCATGTGTGTCGACTTCTTCGGTTAGAAATGCGAGGAAAAAAACCGAAAGTTTGCGAGCTGCTTGTAACGGTTCCCACTTTGCACACTTTGCTGAGCAGTATACGGCACTTGATCCTGCATGGACAGACAGAGCGCGCAGGCATGTTGAGTGCGTGTGTGTGTGTTAGTGTTGTGTGTGGTCGCCGACGAAGGTCGCGCACAGTTTTGCATACGATTGATTGCGCCCGGTCTAATCCTAACCAACTTCAACCAACCAGCCACCGCTCATGGTCACCTCGCAATCCGTACATGCAATCGGAAGAGTATGCACAGTCTCTCCATCCACTGTAGCGCCTTTCGTCCGAAATTCGCATCAACAATGACGATCCAGTGTGTGTGCGTGGGCGTGTGTGTATGTATATATGCCGGGATTCGTGTGTGTGTGTCTATGTGTGTCGATACGTGTGTCGGTGTGCGCATGTTTGTGTGTGGTGACGCTAAATGGCGATGACGGTAATTCAATGCCGCTGGATGACGATGACGGTAAGGCAATGTCATAACCCTTCTGTGTGTAACAGCTGTTTTTATAACTTTATCTCTCATATTACGACAGTTTACCATTCTCTGAATCATTCAAGCTTCATGCAAGCCAGTTTTGCGCTTACGCGATTTGTGTGGTGCCGGTGCAAGCGTAATTGAAAATAACAACATCGGTGCAACCTCACATCCCCAGAGGGTCACCACCCATCCGTAAAGCAACAGTTTCTCGATGAACGTTGCTTGCTTGTCCAGTCTAATATTCTGCACCGGCTTTGTTCGCATCGATGTTTTTTCCTTCACTTTGTTTTTTGATAGAGTCTGCCAGATGCATACTGCACTAGGTTGTATTTGACTCATCTAGACGAATGATCGGAAATTCGAAAGGCAAAAAGTATTAAAATATGAGTCATCTGATTCGCGCAGCATTCCACTGTAATTATGTAGTTGGAAAGAGCCGAGCAAAGCATGTAACAAACTCATTATTATCCATTTTTTTTTATTTTCGTTGAACCATACAGTGAAATCCACATCGCAACCTATTTTAAAATAACGGCTGAAATCTTAGCTTTACATTTCACAATTGAAAAATTGGGGAAGGGAAATTCGCAAAGTACTCCACTACAGGGTCAAAGAGGCTGCAGCAGATTCAATACACAGACATTTGTATTCAATATTTCACTGACATGAGCTTGTCATTATCCAGCATACTTGTTTTCTTCTTTTCGCAATTTGCTTCCAATCACGTAGAATTCGCATTCGCTTTTATTCCATCTCATAGTTTGATTTTAGGTTTTGGTAAACTACCGAGTACAAATAGTGACTCTGTGGACAGTTCCGTACGACGATGTCAGGGATAAATCATTTATTCGTAACATCATTCTTAGACTGTCGGAAACATTTATTTTTACTTGAATTCTAATATGTAATCCGCTCTACGAATATATCATACATTTTGGCGACGATTTACGGCATTCCTTTCATTTCCACTCACATCTCCAATGCTCATTTCAAAGGTTTGCAACGCCATTACTTGCTAGTCTAGTTATCATTTGACCGCATTTTAATAGTGTATACAAGTATAACAAATGTTGTTCATCAACAGCTTCGTATTGTGTACAATGTCAGTATAATGCACTTTTATAAGGCGCTTATTCAGACGGCGTTAGCATAAAGGGCGTGCGGAGTTCTGTGCGATCGGTCGTCATTTCGTTGGACGTCTGCGTATCATCTGAGTACAGATAACAGCAATCGATCTATGCAATCGTATTTCAACTCTCATCGCCATTATCATTGTCATTATCATTGCCATTATCACTATCACTGTCACCATCATCATCATCATCATCATCATCATCATCATCATCATCATCATCATCATCATCATCATCATCATCATCCTCATCCTCATCCTCATCTTCATTATCATCATCAATCATCACGATTATCACCATCACCATTATTATTATCGCCATCGTCATTCAGCGTCATCATCCTCACAAAATTGCTGAACCGGATCGGCAACTTTATGCTGTATGTGTGTACGGAGGCTGGTGAGTTGGAGGGTGGGGTTATTCTCCGTTTTGGTCGCTCCCATAAAGATTCTCTATTGCCATCGCCGCGACCAACTCACACGCCAGAAAATCGCTTCCGACCAGCTGATTGTGGTCAACGAAGTGCGAAAATTGTCATGCTTGTCACAACATGAGACCTCGTTGATTTCATCCTCAGTAACAGCCGCCACATTACATGCCGTCACCATCTCATGCACATTCGATTGGCAGAAATCGATCTCATCTTTAACACTAATTACGCAATCAACCAGAAGGCTACAGTTGTTTCTTTCGTTTCAGTTGTGATCTTTTTCATCGCTTTTATGCGAATTTTTGCATAGTATTGGATTATGAAAATGGAGCCAGTTTAAAGGGAAGAAACTGGGCGTCGGCGCCGGGGCCAATCTATCGCTCTCATTTGAAGGTGCGTCTGAATGTGTTTTGGCGTGATTTTCCTCTTGTACTTCTAGTATGCGCAAGTTTATTCTTTTTCACCGTCACGTATCTTTGTCATGTGGTCTCTTACTGTCATGTTCACTGTTTGTAACGTAAGGCCTGACAATTTTCAAATAGAATGAAATTTACGCGCACTATATTCTCACATATTGCACGTAGAACAAGGCACGACTCTTTGGGCATTGACTTGTACAAAACTTTCCTACCGTATACCAAACGTAGGCTGCGATAGCAATGAATCATTGTTGAACGACGCGATGCGTCGGAGAATTCAATATGATTCGTGTACATGTTGCCATTGTGAGTGTTCCATTACGGATCTGACATTTTCGTGTGAGGTAATTTTGATAGCGTGGCGTCGCTTGTGTTTCTCGACAATCCACTGCATGGTTGCAAGCACGTGCCCGTCAAGAGCATTTCTTACCGGCAGAGATTTGGCCTAGTAAAAGCAGAAACACTCTACATCTATCTTATCACAACGTATTCGTTGATCTTATGATCTTCTAGCTTAACTTAACATTCTGGATTTGTTTGAGAATTTTTCCAATGTCTCTTGTACAAGCGGAGACTGAATTCGCAAATAGCCCAATTTTCGGTATCGCCCATCTGTGTTATAAGTGTGTGAGGGTATATTTGACGGTTGTGGTGAAGGAGGTACTTGTGAGGTGCGATGTTTGTTTTGCTGTGTGACACTAAATAAAATTTTACTTGAGGTCATTGCAACCAGTCACTACTTATTTTTAATCAACAGCAATCTAGTTGCTAGTGGACATGGATTTTTCGCAATCATTTCAGATTTTATATTTTGATCTGAGTTCATATATATATATATATGTATATATATGTATACATATATATATGTATGATATCGGAGCTCGATTTATTTTCGCGATTGGTGTAATAGGCGCGCTGTAGTCCACCCGCTTTCTTGGCCCCAATCAATACCTACTTGTCATTGTCCTACTGTAGGTGGGCGTGGCTCAAGTGCATGCAATACGCCTCAGGGGTCGAGTGACCAACGGGCTTTGTGTGTGCGTCTGTATGGTCTTCGTATTTGATCCTACGTTTTACATTCACACATCGACGATGACTCGGCACGAATTCGAATTTCCGAACGTTGCGCTTATACGAGTCTTAGCGATGATGATAATGTGACTAATGCAAACTGGTTCGTGACAAGTATCAATGCCGCCTCGGCAGTGACTTCTACCTATTAGGTCTGCAGTATGAGCCTGGGCATTGGTGTACATGAAGTATTTGGGTGCACAAACGTGTATAAGTTTATGGGCGTATGTATGTGCGTATGTATATGTTTGTGTTTGTATGTCTATCTACGTTTGGATGTTATGTTTATAAGCGTGTGTGTATGCATATATGCTGCATATTTTGTGTCATCGAAGAGTCATACCGCTTGTCTCACATCGCCGCACATCTCCCCATGCATTCAGATGACTAATTGCGCCTTCTTCCTTGCTGTTACTGCTACTGTCACTGTCACGCTGTCGGCCACTAGGTGTGCGATTGGCTTCGCTTCGTTTTTTTTTCTTTTTTTTCATGCTACGCTATCTATGTATCGCGCATGTGTTTTCGCTGACGCTCGGGGTGCAACCGGTTTCCTAGCGCACATCACGCAGCCACCATCAACTCCAGCACTCGCTTGACGCCGTTTTAGATCCATCGTCTTATTCTCCATCACATAGTCGTTCAAATGCGCTCATCGGTATACCGGTATCCCTACTAGAATCACCTTTCAGCTGCCAATGGTCACTTGACGAGCACTAACCATCCAGTATGCTGTGATACCAAGCTATTCGTGCTTTTTTCCCACATTGCGAACTTCATAATCATTCTTCTGATGTTTCACCCTGTCTTACTATTTTCGGATTTTTATCATATGTGTTTATTTCGATGATGTTCACCTAGTGACCACTATAAAGCTTTATGTTGCCTGCCTCTAACGATCGCTTTTTGCGCATTGCAGAAGAGGCTGCTTCATGTTCGACGAGAACAGTAACACCGCCGGTGCTGGAGCTGTGGTGGCTCAGTCTGGTGTACTTGCTCCAGGGAGTATTCCTGGCAATGTCTCAGCTCCAAACTCGGCTATCGTCACGCAATTGCTCAACGTCAAGGACAGCCGTTGGCTTCAGGTAGAAACGCTGTGTCTCATCGGAATATATTAACACACATACAAGCGTACACACATATGATGACACACATTTCCTACACATCCTTACACATGTACACAACTATACAGCATTAATTTGTTGTACGTCTGAGAGCACTTGGCAAAGAACGCTTGAACGTTGTACTTTTCTTTTATGTTCTACATTACCGTCATTAATACTGAAAGCGAAGTAAAAGAAAGCGAAAACAAGGAAAGACGTGAGAAGAGTGAACAAAACAGAAATAAAGCGAAAGCACTCGAATAAGAAACCTCAGAGGGATCCGATGAATGCTATGATTGCGATTAGTGTGAAACAACTTTCTAGGAATTTGCGTGAAAAACTATTGTCATTCGCTCGAGAATAAAAACCGTTTCCAATGGTCATCAGAAGAATTTCGGCCAACACCTCTTAATAGATCCTCTGGTTGGTGACGGCTGGAAATCTGCAATATGCAATATATATTTAAGTATTGGACAACATTTCTTATTTTTAGTATTTATTATGTGGGCTAAACGTTGAAGAAGAGGCAGTAGTAACATGTTTATTGTCTGTGTTTATAGAGCATTCTGAGCATTTTTCGGCTAGGTCCATATACAGCCACCATATGCCGTTGGTTAGTGGGAAGAGAATTTTTCAGCTTCATTTTCTTTTGCGGATCTTATTATTGTTTACAGCCTTTACCGATGTCGAATCACAAAAATGACTAGCTCATTATTTACTTTGACGCTTATCACATCCGTGGAACAAGCCTTTCAGGAATACTAGGAATACTAACAAATCCGCGTTGATAAGTTATGGCCTGTCGATTTCAACCACACCATATCTATCACATTGATACAACCTATACTGTTACACTGCTGCTAGTGGTACCGAATTGTTAGTAGTCAATCACATTGTAGTAAAACTGACCTATTCGATCATTTACTAGCCGATACTGGTGGAGTAACCATATTCACAGTGCATTTCAATGAAGGTGATTTCATTCTGAAACTGCATTTCACTACATCGTGTACCATATTTGTTATGTTCTCCCGTCCGATGAACAGCATACAATTTGCGCTGATCGATCGATAAAACCTGTTCTTCAGTTCATCAGAAGTCTTCATTGGATCTCTCCTTCTTTTTTTCACTGTCACTCTCTGTCTCCCTTTCTCAGTCTCTATCCTTCTCTTTATCTTCATTTTGCAATTTCGTTGCTCAAAATACTTTCAGGTAGAAGTATGTCGTGAATTTCAACGTGGACAATGCGCGAGAAGCGATTTGGAGTGCAAATTCGCTCATCCACCGCCACATGTTGACGTACAACAAGGGCGAGTAACGGCATGCTATGATAGTATAAAGGTGATTGATAAATATCATTCTGCCATTCGTTGATTTTTCCTATTTTGTTTCGCTTCCACTTTTTTCCAAACATTTGCTTGTTTATCTTTTATTTCGCGTTGGTCACGTTTTGAGCCAGCAGCTAGCTGCAACAGCAGAATTCTTTACCTCGGCGATTGTCGTGAACGGCGGCTTCCATCCCAAAAATAAACGACTTTTCTGCGTTATGTAATCAATTGCGATTCATTTCGGAGCGAACGTACACACATGTGCAGACGCACACCCACCCACACACACACATGCATATATACACACATACATGCACACATGCACGCCCACATGCACACACGGACACATACATGCGCACACATACACACGCATTCCTATACATATGCATATCCACACCTATATACATACGCATGCAATCAAAAAAAAATCGTCTCGCCTATCACCGAGAAACGGGAATCACTGACCTATGCATTCTTTCCGGCAATTTACTAATTTGCATTGCATAATTCGATCGAATAACCAAGGTTTCACCGATCCTCTTTTTTTATTCCACTCCGCTACCAAAATCACTGATGGTGGTGTCATTTATGCTAATCTCGGCTGGCGGCGATTCGTTCAGAGGGAATTTTTTTGTGGACGGCAGCGCAGTGCCCCTTTCGGTGGACTCTGCTGGGCTACTGTGCGTTAAGCGCGGCAGTGATGGAGCCAACGCTGAGGGTGTCTGCGTTCGAGAGGGAGATATGGCCAGCCAGCATGCGATCCTTTATTCTTTGCATTGTTTAATGTCGTATTGATGGCTGTTGCCAGCTGGCTCTTGCGCCCTTCGTTTCAGAATCGAAATGCCAAGCAGCGGCACCCGGCGGCTCATTTTCACAAAGCGCTTCAAAGTGGGGGATGAGCCAGTAGACTGGTGGTCCAAAACATACTTCAAAAAATACTGGTAATTGGACGCATTTCTCATTATTTCGGTGCAAGCCATTAGGTGCTGTCACATTTGCAAGATTCAACAACATTTTCGTAGAATACAAAGAATATGTTGAATTTTTCTTGCATCTGTGAAGCAGTTACCTCAGTCAAGTCAGCTAACAGCGTCCTTTCTCGACTCATCATAACATCTTTATTTAGTGAAAACCGTTCAATTTAAGTTCTGTGTTAGCGCTTGTGGTGTAGTCGGTAGGAACTGGGTTTATCAATAGGAATAAGACGAAGAGCGAGCCATCTGCGTGCAGTGATCCCTGGAGAGTTGCAAATGGAGACAGCATGGCCCTGAGAGAAAATGCTGCTACCAGCTATGATTTTGGCCCGATGCCTTTTTCCTGGATCAATGTTGTTACCTCTATGTTAAAACTATAGTATAGGGAAAACACGGAAATGAATACAATTGTAGCAGTGATGGCTTCAATGTTGAAACGGCTTTACACAAATCATTCAGATGTGTGTGAAATATCCAAAGACTCCTCTTGTTTTCAATTTCAATGCAAAGTTTTTTTGCTATCATTGTTAAACGGAACGGTGGTTGTTTTCGCTTTCCATAGTGATTTCTGTTACCTCTTTTCTATTGCGTCCAATGACCGAAGTCTTTGCAAAAATATTTCCAAAAATCAAGACAGCTGCAAAACTGCTGGAACTGCTCATGAGATTGTTTCGCTTAGAATCTGTGATTTTGAAACATTAGAAAGGTCAAGAATTCCGCATGAACGTTTGAAGAGATACGCGTATGTTAGTGAGGAATAAGTGGCGAACTATGTAACCAGTTAAACATAATGGAATCCTGACGTCATGGGCATGATCCCCCATGAAAAAACCCCACCCGAAAACCAGTTGCTTTGTCGGGTGAATGCACTACGACCATCAACCATTTTTGGATATTCTGGACGTCGACGATGTCAGTCTATTAGACCTCGTCAAAATCAATGTTAATGTGTGGATTTCGCACTCATTATGCTCAAATACCGTATCTTCACCAAGCACAGGCGCGTTTAATTATGGTAATGATGAAAAAATCTATCGCTTAGCCGAATCAAACAAAACGGGACCGTTCTTCATGTCATTGCGTTAGAACTAGAAAAGATTTCCTCTTGTTGGCTGTCTGAATTTTTGAACGTTCCACTTTTCTAAGCTAACGTTTTGTGGTTATTTTCAACTGGGCATCAAGATTTCTGGCATTGACGTAGTTCGAGTAATATTCGACTACTGCAACACTTTAAAGCATTTTCAGCTGAAACTGGTCATTTAGCAACGTTCAAATTTTCGAAAGGATTCTTACAATTGATTCTATCGCTCAGTCCTTGAGTATTTAGTTTTCAAACAGTGAGTTTTGCTGTTTCATCAGACACATTAACTTTAAAATTTAAACCCAGCGAAATTATTCTAAAAGTAAGCGCATGGAGAAATACAGTGAGGAAGATGTGTGTGTGTGTGTGTGTGTGTATGTGTGTGTGTGTGTGTGTGTGTGTGTGGTGTGTGTGTGTTGGATGGCGAGACGAAGTCGGAACGTATGGATGTAGGAACGGATGATAAAAATGATTGAGTCGATGGACGCGTTAGTGTGGCTCAGCTGCTACGAACCAATCGACATACTGCTGATCAATCATGTCGACTGCTGACAGCATTCGTATTCTGCGAGAAATTTCCATTACATTCCTAGTTGATTTGTGTACTGTAACCGATATTGCCCAATGAAAGGCTCATTCATGACAGGATTGCTTCATTCCAATAGCGAAAGATCAAAAACAGAATTGAATTCATTGCGCACCTTTTTCGTATTGATTGAATAAAATGTGGAAGCCGATTTAGTTCGTTGTTGACTTGACCTTTTACATTAATTTCATTATGAAAACAGAATGATCACCAGAGAGGTTAATAGCGCCATACCAAGCAACATCTATGCATAAAATCGCTTCGCAGTTCGCTTCAATCCGTGGTCGTCACTCGTCCTTCCCTATTCAGATTTTTTGAGGAACAACAAGATTACAGAGCGGAAATTTAAAACATTTCATCAGTTGTAGGGTCGATGTACGAGGGAGAATCCGAAGTGCAAGTATTTGCATCCTCCACAGCACATCAAGGACCAGCTACTAGTCAACGGTAAAAATCATTTGGCGCTAAAGAATCTGATATCAGCGCAATTGAACCAAACGGCTACTGGTCAACCGATTGCAGTTAATCCAATTGCACAAATTATGGTGAGCCTTTGACGAAATCTCCTGTCTCGCTTTTCCTTCGCTACTCCCCTCTTATTCTTTCTACGATTGCTTGTTAACTACTTTTTTAGCAACTCTATCGAGCATAATGATTTTTTAGCAGACTGAGCTGCCTGTTCTTTCAGCAACAACAACAAGCAGTCGCAGCCGCGAACATGATGCCCACACTTCCATATCCGTACTACCAGGGCTTGGTGTACTCTCCAGTACTTCAAGCTGCTGATCCGTATCAGGCTGCTGTCACGCAGGTATCGTCCTCGTACTTGTACCCTTCCTCTGCTTCTGTCTGTCCCGCGCGAACCCGTTTGCACGATTCTGCCGTGTAGTTTACTTTGTTAACAGCTCGTACTTGACATATACGTATCTCTCTCTCTCTCTCTCCATCTATATATATCTATATATCACACATTCGCGTCTTGGTGGTGTTTTCACCGGCTAACGGCCTTTCGCCATTTGTGACACGATGATGAGTTTCTAACTGTTCTCGCGTGTATTAGCAGCAACAGCGTCAGTGTGTGTGCATGGCTTGATGGCTGACAGCTCTGTTCAGCAACTGCAGGCGGCTGCGCTTCTGCACGGAGGGGCCGGCGGCGGCCTGTTCGCCGCGACACCGGCGCAGCTCGCGCAAGCTGCCGCCGCCGCCGCCGGCGTCGCGCTGGCCGCCGCTCCGTCGGCTGCCGCCACCGCGCTCCAGCTGCCGCCTCTGAATGCCGCCGTTTCCGCTGCCGCCGCCAGCCGCAAGAGGCCTCTGGACGACGAGTCGCTTGCCGGCGTCGATCCACAGCAGGCGCACTTCTTCAATCTGGCTGCTGTCGTTTCCGCTGCGGTATTCTTTCCTTTATTTTAGCTCGCTACGTAATATTCAGATTTTACTCAGAAAATAGAAAAACAACGTGGCGTGCTTTTTATTTGGTTTAGTTGTACCCTAACGCAGTGACGTGTTGTGGCATGAGCTCAAGTGTGCATGATATAGCATTCTTAACTCACTAAGGTGGTGCTACGTTTAGGCCGGTGTCCCTTGCAAACGTCCTGCCGTTGACAAGAATGGAGCTGTTGTGTACTCAGCGAATCCACAACCAGCTCAGCAATTCACTCCCTACGTTCTACCGGGTCTTCAGGGCTATGTACCTGCTGTGTCATGTAAGTGTACTACAACAAAACCAAAAATGAACGGCTCAACTGCACATTATGGTCTGCCTCTTGCTTGAGAAGATCTGCGCACAATGACGCTCAGCACTGGCACGTATGTGCGGAAAACTGTGCAAGCACGTGCGTGAGCTCGTCGTTTGGTACTGGAGCACTGTAGAATTGGTACGGCTCCAAACCGAAACCTTTGAGACACCTTTGATGCACGCCGTGTGTAGCACGTTGCAATTTAAGCAAATATAATGATTTCCAGAAGTGATCAACGTATATTTTTTGTTTCTTCACGTCGTGTTATATCGACGCATTTAAATAGCCTTAGGCTGAACCTTTGTAGTGTAACTGTAAGAAAATTTTGCGTTCGAATTTTCATTTTTCAATGTTTCCAAACATCGATGCTCACGTCCGCGTATACTCCTTATGTTGTTCGCGCACAATCACACTGTGCTAACGCTTATTTTACTTTGTTCCCCTAAATGAGTTCGCTTTTCAGTCAGTGGGCCACTGCCACCTCGCTACTAGAGCCAACGGGAAAATTCGTGTGGTCCCGTTGATGCCAGCGGTAGCCCCCTTTCTTCTCTCCGCCGTCCTCTGTGATCTTCAACGGTGATTATTTGCTTCGTGTGTAGTTCCACTGTATAAAAACACTCTCCTCGGCTTTCATTGTTGTTTCAAATAGAACTAGCTAGTACAAATCCAATCGAAACCCTCAAATTCAAACATCCTTTTCTGTATCGTTCTTGCCGCGGAGCCCTCGTTTCACGCTTTGATGGATGATCTCGTTCGGTCGGTGCTCGTCTCGCACGGGTTTTCTAGTCGGGCGCCGTGGGGCTTGGCCTACGTCCGTGGCTTTGCTGTCCGTGACAGCTTGCTAAGTTTTTTTTTCCTAATTTTCTTTATTTGAGTCATTCAGTTTTTATTTTTCAATCTTCGGTTTCAGACGATTTATTTCATAATCTGGTTCTCGTTTTCTTTTGTTTTTTCTTTTTTTTTTAAATTTCTGGTGTCGTTGAGTACGTCCGCGATAATTGTTTTCATAGCGGGTAAGGGAGATACGAACAAACCCATTCGCTATTGTTCGTTTTATAGTATTTTTATTTGTTTGAATACACTTATGAACACGTAGAGTTACGACTCGAAACTTGTTTGGAAACTATATCTGTTTTATATGAACGACTTTTATGTGTTTTAATGTCTTATGTGTTAAAATATTATTTTTTAATTTTCCAACTATTTTTTCTATGAGTTCTGTGAGTGCTTCTCGCAACGAAATTTGATGATTGTTCACGTTGGTTGAAATGTAAGACGCTAGAACCGCTTCATGATGCCCCTTCTAAGGAAAAAGTTTTTTTTCCTCCATTATTACTTCATACTAAATGAAGTTAAATTGTTGTATTATTTGACATTTTTGTTCTAAACACTGTGTTTTTTGACATTTTAAGTCCATTCGATTTACTGTGTTTTAGGTTATCGATATTAATAATAAAATTCTACGTTTGTTTTCTGTGCAGTGATATTTTTGGAGTAGATTTTTTCTTGACGTGTGTCGTTCATCCCAGACAACGACATTGATGGTGTCGATCAGTGCTTTGTTTCTTGTTCTGAATTCCTCACGATTCCATGTCTAAACTTTAGCACCAATCAGACAGGCCGATTCAATTTTATTTCAAGCTGTGAATGTAGGTGGAAGATACCGTTAAATAAACTGACATCATATAAGGCGATATGAGGAATCTGAGTGCTTTCAAAGAGGGCGAGAATGACACGTTGACGGATAGGCGGAATTGAGACCTCAAGATGTCGTTTACGATAACATGAAAGTCCTCTTACACATAGTGAGTATTAGTGGCAATGATTAAACTGAGACGAAGATCGAGAGACGTTAGAAACAAAACCAAAGCGAACGGAATCGGAAGAATAGTGGGCAAATATGTTCGAGCAATATTTGAAAACCTTGATCGCCTAACAAAGCCGGCAACACGTTGTGCAATCTTTCAGATTTTCCACTTGTAGCCTCTCAAAGAACTCGTGTAGAGCAGTAGGTAGAGGTGGCCCTGTAATGTGTACAAAGTTCTTGGTTGGATCCGGCGAAGCCAAACTATCGGTTCCACCGGGATCGGTGAGTGATAGCAGATTTGTCTGGGAGGATTGAAGCCATCGACTTGATTCATCGACAGGGTTCCAAACAAATAGGTCGAGTGCCTAATGCATTCCTAAAGAAGAAATCTTCCCAACTCATTCCTATATATTCCTTCAGCAATTGCCACCAAATTTTGTCATGGAATTGTCATGCTTTTACCTGGGAGCTAAACACCTAGGAAAACGAAGACCATCAAATGAATCATGCGTTTAATAACACTAGGATGGACAAGGCGAGCAAGTCGCCAATATTTTAGATATCATACTGACAATGATTCTTTCATCAGGTTGTGGAACTCCATCAGGTGCTGGCGATCAGTTCTGAGAGGTTTTTGTATTTTAAGAAGAGCTAATAGACTTTCTTTGCATTTGAATAAAATAGTAGTCATTTAAAACTATTATCAAGTAATCAAAGCTGTTATCACCCATCTGATAAGAAGATGTAGTAAAACACATCATAGTGTTGAAGACGATGAACATTCTCGTCGATTTAGCAGGAAATTCTACAATATAGTGACAGTTAATGAATGATTGGCTCATCGTAGAAAGTGTATACTCCAGATGAAAATGAAAAAAATGAAATGAATAATATCACTTGCGCTAAGGAAAACAGAAAAGAAAAAGGAAAGAACTGGTCAAAAAAAGAGAAAACGAAAAACCAAAAAACAAAATAGCACACAAATTTCTCATAATAAGTCCATCGGGTCTATTGACTACTTGAAGTGTTTGTGTTACTTTGTCAACTTAATCATAGAGAAGCTTTCCACTGACCCTTACCCATTATTCCAATTTCTCAATAGCATATGTGACTTTTTTGATTCATCTAAGTGTAATCAGTGAATATATTCACTGTTGTTACAACTTGTCCTCCTTTAACTGCAGGAGGAACACAAAGGAGTTATCGCTAGAAGAACGTAACGTAATACTCCCAGTATTATTATTGCTTGTAGTGGTTAATGTGTATGAAGCATAGGATGGATATAGGATGATGATTGGCTGCGAATGTGTTGGGAAGAACAGGACGTGTTGTGTGTTGACAATGGATTGGGTTGCGGGCTAAGACGGAAATGAAGACGTCGCTCGCGTTCGAAGCAATTGCCAAACAGATAGTGATGACGATAAATACCCGTCATCATATTGAAGAAGAATTTCTGATGCGTCTCATCCCCCGCTCACCAAAAATTTACGTTCAAAAAGAGGAAGAAGCTCAAGAGAAGAAGAAGGGGAAGTACGGAAGGAAAAACAGAAACGGAATATTCAGTCCGAAAAGAAATGATGGAACTAAATATGGGCCTGTGATTTTCGGAAGGCGTTCGTCTATTTTAAGGAAAAATAAAAGTCCATTGTATGTAACAGGCGCATTAGACACACATACCCATTCATATATACATATATGTATATATCTTTATATAAAAGGGCGCTATATATGTATGTTTATATAAAAGGGCGCGTAGCGCACTGGTCGGAGGCAACACACACACACGCGGAATCGATCCCAACGCTTATGGCCCACCAAGCCCTTCATCTCTCCGGGGTCGAGAAATTGGTACAAGACTTTTCTGGGAGAATAGCATCACTTGCTCGACACATCGGTAGGCCACCGCAAGTCATTATAGGGATCAAATATGCATTCAATCACCTCCAAACGATGCTTAATGAAGTCGAGTGCATGGCGCATCGCTCAGCGATTGATCAACCCCGAGAGATTTATCTTTTTGTTATCGCTGCCTATTGTTATATATACCCATTTAGAGCATCCCACAAATGTTATCAGTTATTATTACTAGAGAGACTAGATCGTTTCCCGTTCATTTGTTGAACAATTCGGACCTACAGTCTGCTAATCACAGTCGTCCACCTCATATTTATGTATTTTAAACAGATTTTAGTGTCACTACAGAGGTAATGCGTTCTGGAATACCTTACTACTGAGATCGTAGTCTGGATATCTCTAGCAGTGTTCTTCTATAGAGGGTGCAACTTTTATGAACGCTTTATCCTTTTATCCTCTATATATATATAT